GCATGTAACGTACTGTACTTTAATAACCTTACTCTCATGCTTTTCTTTCTTGTAATAATAAACCTTTAGATATAGATTCTAAAGGATTGGCCCAGCGTGATTTGTGGTAAGGTCCAGAGGGTAAATTGACCAGGGATCTGTGGCTGGTTTCTTGGAACCGGACAGAACTTGTTCGGGGTAGGTGGGATTGGGTGCTAGGACCCCCCACCTGTGTATAGGCCCGGGGCCATCTGGGGCACGGATATTGCTGGGGTGTCGGAGGGGTTTTGCTCGGCAGGCTTCAGGCAGGCTGCTGAAGAGCTCTGTGAGACTGGTTTGTGGCCTGTTTGGAGAGGTCGCCAGTCAGGGGGACTGTAAGGAGCCCCGGATTTGAGCAATTCGCCCTGAGCGGACGCCCTCAGCTGTGCCCAGACACGGCCCGGTCCGTCACAAGGAGCAACAAAAATGATTAAAGGTCTAGAAAACATGAACTGTGAAGGAAGGCTGAAAGAACTGGGCTTGTTTAGTTTAGAAAAAGGAAGCCTGAAAGGGGACATAATAGCAGTTTTCAAGTATCTAAAAGGATGTTATAAGGAGGAGGGAGGAAACTTGTTCTCATTGGCCTCTGAGGATAGGACAAGAAGCAATGGGCTTAAACTGCAACAAGGGAGGTTTAGGTTGGACATTAGGAAAAACTTCCTACCTGTCAGGGTGGTTAAACACTGGAATAAATTGCCAAAGAAAGGATGTAGAACCTCCATCACTGGAGATATTTAAGAGCAGGTTAGATAGACACCTGTCAGGGATGATCTAGATAGTGCTTGGTCCTGCTGTGAGGACAGGGGATTGGACTCGATGACCTCTCGAGGGCCATTCCAGTTCTAGTGTTGTATGATTATATGTCATAAAATGCTCTGGGAATAGTGGGGCTACTCCCTGAGGCATTAGGCTTCATGGAAGGCCTGAGCTAAATTATGTAAATTGAGAATTTTTTCCCAGTTGCAAATGCAAGGGGCTAGGAAATCTGCTGCAGTTTTTTGTGTTGGATGTAGAAAACCATGAGAAGAAGGTGTATGGAAGTGGGACTTCTGAGAAGAATCAGAGGGTCTGGGTAGCGAGATGTTGAAAGGTACTTGGCGCTGTGTGTGTGTGTGTGTGTGTGTGCGCGCGCATGCACGCAGTCCCCCTGGGTCACCCCAGCCTTGTGCAGGCAGCCGGCACAGCAGACCTCAAATAAACCAATGACCACAAGATCCGTTAAGGGATAATGGGACCTATTCAAGTTTATTGTCAACAAAGCACGGTGAGAGAATCTGGCAGGATACTAAGACAAGTATGTTCATGATAATGGATGCAGCTCAGTGAATAGCAGGATTTTCTATTCCTCTCTCAGCTAAACAAAGACACATTTTTATACCCTGATACAAAAAAGGTAATAATGCCCCTCTGACATAGTTACTATCCCCTGACATCATCTTGTACATATTGGTTCACTCAAAACATCTCTATTATGCGTTGTTTTCCTGACCTTAACTTTTAGGAGGGGTCAGTGTGTGCCTTTTATCCTTCAGGAATGCTTTTATACCATCCTTGATATGGGGATGATCAAGTCCCATTTGATTCAGGCTGTGTTTGCGAGAGTACTCTGTGGAATGTGTATTTCTACAGTATCAGCTCTGTTTTTGCCAGCTTCTGTGAGCATATTCCCGTCTCATACTAGGCTTCTGATATAACAACTTATGTCTCAGGTTCTCTTCCTATTACACTGGGCACTACTTACTGGAGGGATTTCTGAGCTAGGAAACTGTATGTTTGATCAAGGAAATAGTTCTGTGGACTTTGTTGTTGTTGTTGTTGTTGTTGTTGTTGTTGTTGTTGTTGTTGTTGTTATAAATAAACAAGATGACACCAAGAATGCATTTGACTCACATGGTAGATTTCTCCTTCTAATGGAAACAACAACAAAAGGCTTGGAATATTGGCCAGCTACAAGAGGGGCTAAAAATTAAAACAATTGGTCAGAAAAAAAAATAAGGGAAACCTCACTAGTGGAGAAGCCCTGCACGGATTAGGTGATGTTTTAGAGTGATCCTCTTTGTGCTGCAGCTCTTCCAGGACTTTTGACAGGCAAAGCATAGCGAATTTTCACATGCTGCATTATAAATATATTTTTGTGTACACAACCAGGATCACACTAATATCTTCTGCTCTAAGAATCTGTGAAACAAGTTGATCAGAATTTTTCCACAAATAATTTTACAGAAGAGATTTCACCAACGTCTTGTCTGACACACATGGTGTGACCTTCGCAAGACACTTTATAACTCAATTCTATTAATCTGTGGAGTGCATCAGGTAGAAATTAGCAGTGAAATGAACAGATTTTGGAGAAAGTGTGTCTATCCCTTGAGTTCAGAGACTTGAGGAGTAGCTTGATATGTATCCCAAAATTTCCAGTTTTGTTATTGCTTATTTGTGATAGAAAAGTTATTTTTAGTTGCTTTCTGTGCCTCATGATGATTCTAAAATGACTAATTTGATGTGACATTTACTAATGTAGTATGATCAGAGATAATTTGAACTTATTAACTCTTATCGTAGTATATTAGTAAACATCGGATTTTATCTGAGAAATTTGCACGTGCTGCAAATGAGAAGACACCTTGAAATCACACTGCATTAGTATAATTTATCAGCTTCAGGTCTGATAGAGTTCACACCATCCCACTCTACTATAGTGGAAAGACTGGTTATACAGCCATACTATGTACCTTCTTAAGACAGTACGTCCAGCAGTCACTTAGGAATATTGTAGACCCTTTCCAACACAAATCAACATTTTGTAGAATTCTTGGAGGCACCTTCTTGCTATTATTTGTACTAGTTCTTGGAAATACCTACAGGCTGTTGAGTGGATTGAGTAGGTTTTTTTTCTATCTAACTTATGTTTGTGAATAAAGGCATGTCTAGATTTACTTTCACTTTTGAAAGAAGATATGCAAATTTGGTGCAAATTTGCATATCTTCTTCCGATTGCTTTTTTGAAAGATCTTTTTTAGAAAAAGAAAGTAGTCTAGACACGGTTCTTTCGAGAAAGGGGTTTCTCTCAAAAGAACGGTGTCTAGACTACTTTCTTTTTTGAAAGAACCTCTTTTGAAAAAGCGATCGGAAAAAGATATGCAAATTCATGCCAAATTTGCATATCTTCTTTTGACTGTGAAAGCAAGTCTAGACGTGCCCTAAAGGTTGATCTAAAAAGGGTCAGCAAATGCTACGTATTTCAGACATGAAGGGATTTTAAAATTTGTTGGCAGGAATGAGCATTTTGGATGTGAAACTCTAAAAGGCAACACTAGCTAGAAAGAAAATTGGTAATGAGGGAATGCTTCCCCTACAAATTGTCAAATTAACCCATGTAATTTTGCTCTCAGTTTTCCCTTAAGCCCCTGTTAGATTTTTAATATGAAGAAAATTTTCTCACACTTTCTAAAACCATCCCCAGGACCTGAACATTTAATCACCAGATAATCAACGTAATATATCACTTTTTCTTTCTCTGGAATACCCTTTTCATCTCTGTGTTACAGTTGTGGCTCCTTACCTCTTGTCGGTCACATATGCCACTGGAACATCCAATTTGTTGTGGACACCATTTACAAACTCTAGAAATAAGCGTGTTAATTAGTTTAAAAAATAAAAACATTTCCACAAAAATAGAAATCAGTTATTACCTTAGAATGCTCAAAAGTGTGCTAAGAACAGAACTGGTGACAGACTTCACTGGCTCTGGGCAATTTGTGGAGGAGGGCTTGGTTCTGAGGCCCCTGGAAGGGGCAGAGTCCCAGGTGAAGAGATGGGGCTAGAGGCACCCAGCCATGCAGGCATCTGATGAAGTGGGTTTTTGTTCATAAAAGCCTATGCCCAAATAAATCATTTAGCCTTTAAGGTGCGACAGGAGTCTTCTTTGGTTTTCACATGCAGACTAATATAGATGCCCCTCTGATACTTGTCACATATATAGCTGCTTCTGTGTATAAGAGGCTATGTGAGATTGAGGTCTACATTTTTACCTTAAACTTTGGGCTGTAGAGAGAATAATTTATACTGTATTCTACCTTGGTTACCTTTCTGTCCAAATACAAAGATACATTCTAATATCTTTGCTGCTTTCAAAATGATTTCTTGCAAAAAAACTGATACCTCCCCTTTTTCTAACTATTTTGAAATAAATGAAACTATAGTAATAATCAATCACAATGAATTAGTAACATGTCTGAAAGAAAAAAGAGTGCAACACTTACAGTGAGCATAGATATTAAGATTTCAAGATTTCTTTATTTGGTGACCAATTTGTATTTCTTTTTTTTCTTGGTATATATTTCTGACATTTTCTTGCTTAGCTAAAAAAGTCTTTCACTTTGGGTATGTCTACACTACAGGGTAAGGTTAAATTGAGATAGGCAATTTCAGCTTTGTTAATTGCGTAGCTGAAGTCAAAGTACCTTAACTTGATTTTTGGTGCTGTCCACACAGCAGGAAGTTGAAAGAAGAACACTCTCCCTTTGACTTCCCTTACTTCTCATGGAAGCCAGATCTCTGGCATTGACTGACGTGCCCCTCTCAGTTCAAATTAAAGTGTCTTCACTAGACCCACTAATTTGAACCCTGGAAGATCAACAGTGGCAGTTTTGATCTTCTCTGTAGTGTAGACATACCCTTATAGAAAATAAATCTACAAAAAATGCTTCCAAGCTCCCTTGTCTCAGAAATAGCTTTTCCAAATATCAGAATCATTCCAGTTTGTTTCTGCTATTTGGTTGCCTTGTGGCTCCAAAGCGGTTGTTCCTTCCTGTTCCCTTTTTCAATTGCAGCCCAAAATGTCTGATTGTAGAAGATCAGGTAGTTCCACCTTGTTCTAAGAGTTGGAATTTTTCTATCTTTTTCTAGGCCTTGAAGTTGCTGCTGTACTTGTACCATCTCTAACACAAGGAAGAGATCTACACTCTAAGCTGAATTTGACTGAGTGTCCTACAAGCAGTCCTGTGGCACCTTAGGGTATGTCTACACTACAACGTTAATTCGAACTAAGCTAATTCGAACTAACGGATCCAGACTAAAAAACTAGTTCGAATTAGCGTTTTGCTAATTCGAATTAGCAAAACGCTAATTCGAACTAGTTTTTTAGTCTGGATCCGTTAGTTCGAATTTAATTTGAACTAACGGAGCGCTTAGTTCGAACTAGGAAAACCTCATTTTACGAGGATTAAGCCTAGTTCGAACTAGCTAGTTCGAACTAGGCTTAATCCTCGTAAAATGAGGTTTTCCTAGTTCGAACTAAGCGCTCCGTTAGTTCAAATTAAATTCGAACTAACGGAGCGCTAGTGTAGCGCCTATGAAAGTTAGTTCGAACTAACATCCATTAGTTCGAACTAACTTTCATAGGCGCTACACTAGCGCTCCGTTAGTTCGAATTTAATTTGAACTAACGGAGCGCTTAGTTCGAACTAGGAAAACCTCATTTTACGAGGATTAAGCCTAGTTCGAACTAGCTAGTTCGAACTAGGCTTAATCCTCGTAAAATGAGGTTTTCCTAGTTCGAACTAAGCGCTCCGTTAGTTCAAATTAAATTCGAACTAACGGAGCGCTAGTGTAGCGCCTATGAAAGTTAGTTCGAACTAACATCCATTAGTTCGAACTAACTTTCATAGGCGCTACACTAGCGCTCCGTTAGTTCGAATTTAATTTGAACTAACGGAGCGCTTAGTTCGAACTAGGAAAACCTCATTTTACGAGGATTAAGCCTAGTTCGAACTAGCTAGTTCGAACTAGGCTTAATCCTCGTAAAATGAGGTTTTCCTAGTTCGAACTAAGCGCTCCGTTAGTTCAAATTAAATTCGAACTAACGGAGCGCTAGTGTAGCGCCTATGAAAGTTAGTTCGAACTAACATCCATTAGTTCGAACTAACTTTCATAGGCGCTACACTAGCGCTCCGTTAGTTCGAATTTAATTTGAACTAACGGAGCGCTTAGTTCGAACTAGGAAAACCTCATTTTACGAGGATTAAGCCTAGTTCGAACTAGCTAGTTCGAACTAGGCTTAATCCTCGTAAAATGAGGTTTTCCTAGTTCGAACTAAGCGCTCCGTTAGTTCAAATTAAATTCGAACTAACGGAGCGCTAGTGTAGCGCCTATGAAAGTTAGTTCGAACTAACATCCATTAGTTCGAACTAACTTTCATAGGCGCTACACTAGCGCTCCGTTAGTTCGAATTTAATTTGAACTAACGGAGCGCTTAGTTCGAACTAGGAAAACCTCATTTTACGAGGATTAAGCCTAGTTCGAACTAGCTAGTTCGAACTAGGCTTAATCCTCGTAAAATGAGGTTTTCCTAGTTCGAACTAAGCGCTCCGTTAGTTCAAATTAAATTCGAACTAACGGAGCGCTAGTGTAGCGCCTATGAAAGTTAGTTCGAACTAACATCCATTAGTTCGAACTAACTTTCATAGGCGCTACACTAGCGCTCCGTTAGTTCGAATTTAATTTGAACTAACGGAGCGCTTAGTTCGAACTAGGAAAACCTCATTTTACGAGGATTAAGCCTAGTTCGAACTAGCTAGTTCGAACTAGGCTTAATCCTCGTAAAATGAGGTTTTCCTAGTTCGAACTAAGCGCTCCGTTAGTTCAAATTAAATTCGAACTAACGGATCCAGACTAAAAAACTAGTTCGAATTAGCGTTTTGCTAATTCGAATTAGCAAAACGCTAATTCGAACTAGTTTTTTAGTCTGGATCCGTTAGTTCGAATTAGCTTAGTTCGAATTAACGTTGTAGTGTAGACATACCCTTAGAGATTAACTAATGTATTAGGTCATGAGTTTTCGTGTCTCATTCATAGCATTTGATGTGGAGATGTGTATATCAAAAGTGAGGAAATTGCCTTTGTAGTGCGTTAACCAGTTAAAATTTTTATTCAAGCTTAAGTTGATAGTATTGAGACACATCCACCCTGACTTAATTAGCTTTGTTGGTACTCGTCCTACAATTGACAGATAATTTCTTTTTCTATCATATATACTCCAAATTCTGTAATTTACACTCCAACTCATCTGATAAAGTGGATTTTACCCACAAAAGTTCATGAACTGATATATTTTGTCAGTCTCTAAATTGCCATAGAACTGAGTGTCCTATAGTCAACCATGCTGCACAACACTAGAAGAGATTTGGGTAAAGATTTTTGCACAGCTGTTCACATGCAAAGAAAATGATTCTCAGGAATTCTGCAGTTGATTGAATTCCAGAGATAAATAGCATAACTCTTCCACAAAATGGGTAAGAATTTGCCTGCCCTTCTCACACTAGTGCTCACAGAAATTCATTTGTATGAAATATTGGTTTGGCTCTACCTATGTGTGCACCATATGTCATTATTATATTTATTTACAAAGAATTTAAGAGTGCAGTGTATATAACACTAAGAGGCATAAAACTCAGGCAAAATGCTTGAAGTTTTTAATTTGAGTGAATACCAATGGATTTTATTTTTGAGACATTCTTCCACAAGTATTACTGCAGTCATTATTTTATGTCAGGGGAGAATTGTTTCTTCCAATTTTGAAGTAAATTGGACAAGGTATTTGGAAACTACGATAGTTAAAAATGTTATCTCACTCCTTAAATATTTCCATAATATATGTGTTGCTTGACTCGTTATAATCCAAAATAGCTTACCTTAGATACTCCAAACTTAATTTAAAATTTTGTTTGTGGTGAGGATTTGTGCCTTTTGCTTAGTTTTGGTTTGGTGTTTGGTTGAATTATTTATGCTACTCAAAGCCATTTCAGCATACATTATGGGATGAAAGGAGATTACAAACTTCCCTTATGGAACTTGCAATGTCTGCATGGCTCAAGTATGCAGAACCCAGAGGGCATGTTGGGAGAGCACCAAATACTAGGGATGAAAGGGTTTTTTTGGAGGGGTGGGGGTTCATAGTAACTCATTCCTGGTGGAAGCAGAAGTCAGAAACACTCTTTATAAAATAGCGAGCCTCACTTTGAACTTCTAGACCAGGCTTGAGCAATAAGCGGCCTACAGGCTGGATGTGGTTCACCAGACATAGCCCCCAGTGGGCCACAGGATCTTTGTTTACCTCAGCATCCCTAGGTACAGCCACTCCCATTGGCTACAGTGGGTCATTCCTGGCCAGTGGGAGGCATGGGAAATGGTTACCTACTGCAGTGCTTCCCACAGCTTCAATTGGCTGGGAAGAGTGAACTGCGGCCAATGGGAGCTGCAAGCAGCCATACCTGTTGAGGCTCGGGTAAACAAAGCTTCTGGTGGCCCTGTAGGAGCTAACTCTGGCAAAATGTTTCTGGTCCGTGGGCCACTTATTGCCCAGTCCTCTTCTAGACATAGTTCTACTATTGTAGCCTCCTAAAAACTAAAACCACATGTCCTGATTCCAGCTCCAGTCTAGATAATACTTTGTCCTGCCATGAGTGCCGATCCTGTCCAGTCCTGTGATTCTGTGATTTAACCAGGTGACTCTCTTTTCATCTACCTTATCCTTTGGACCTAGCACAGTGGGGAAAGAAGCAGATGTGCTCCCAATACCTCTCCTTGCAACTAGCTAAGAAGAGAGGGTAGGAGCTAGCTAGATGCAAAGTGGGGATCTGGGCATTTCATAATGAGCCAATGCAAAGTATTCTCTTCACCTAGCTATTGAGGAAGTGTGCTTCAGAAGGGCATCTCTGTTGGTATTATGCAGAGCGTAAAGGCTCAGTGTAGCCATGGAGAAGGTTCACGTGGACTACACTTTGTATCACAACAAAAGTGAGGAAGGAGGTCAGGGTTTCACCACTAAATGCCAGCCATGAGACCTGGCACAGTCTTATTTGACACACTGCAGTAAGTTGAACATCTGCCTAATGTTGTAAAATAAACACAGTTGCAAAATACTGGACAGTTGTAAATTGACCTAAGTGATCTGACCAGCTTGCAGATATTTCAAGGAGTAGACCTAATATAGCACAGGTCTGGTCTGAGCTGCTTGGTCTCAGCACTTTCCATTCTATTAACACAACAGTGAAAGGTCAGAAATGAAATAGTCTTCAAGTTGGAAAGCCTTTGGGGAGTGGGAGGGGAATCATTTCTGGTCAGAAAAAAAGACATGCTTGTAAAACTGTCTAACTGGTGAAGTTCAGCCTCTGAATTCCCAGGCAAAAGTCATTAGATTGCAGATTTTTAAAAAAAGAAGATACACAATATCCTCTTTGGCAGGTATCCCAGAAGCACTGAGACCACTGGGAGAGGGAGAGTGAAGTCTGCTCTACAATCTTAGCTAAGAGCCAGTTGAATTTAAGCTCATGTGGTAGAGGCACATGGCTTTAGCCCCTAAGGTTACAAGTTCAATCTCTACTGCTGATAACCAAGGTATGTTGGCTTTACAAGTGGGCACTTCTTCTGAATGAATTTCTGGGAGGTCTCAGAAGCTTGGGATGCAGATGACTGACAAGGGAGAACTCTGCAGCCTTAGCTAAGATGCAGTAGGTTTTTAGCTCAGGTGGCACATGGCTGTCACCCCTTAAGGTCATGGGTTCATTCCCCCTTCTAATAACCAGAATCTGTCAGTTCTACAGTTGTAACTAAGATTTTCAGAAGATGCCTGGGAAGTCCAATTCCCATTCATTTTCTTTGGTTTTGATAATTTAAGGTTCTTGGGAGACCTTGATCAAAACTACTGACTATAGTGCTGATCAGTATTGTCTCATTGTTTACTTGTACTTCCTCATCTGTGTGTATCCACCTGTTGCCTCATCTTATATTTTGATAGTAAACCCCGGGTACAGGGACTGTCTGTGTTCTCTGTTTGTGTAGCACCTGGCACAATGAGGCACTAGTCTATGACTAGGTTCCCTAGGAGCAGCATTCCTTCCAAGTTGTATACTTGTGCAGCCACTCAGGAGAGATTTTAGTGCCACCCAGCTGATTAACAGAGCTCCCATTACTAGAGTTGTGTTTCTCCTGGTGGTGCACATTCACACATGTCTTGGTGCACATAGCAAAATTTATTCTACACATGAATGAAAAAGTCCACGCATGGATGGAAAAGATTAGAGGGAACATTGCCTAGGAGCTATGGTAATGCTAAGAATTTGTCTCTGTGCCTCAGTTCCCCATCTGTAAAATGAGCATTATGATCCTTGCCTGTGTTGCAGGGTGTTATGAAGATAAATATGTTGATGTTTGTGAGGTAATCAGAGACTACAATGATAGTGTCCATTTAACTACATAGGTCCTAAATGGACATGCAGCAAGGTGGGGGGCTTTGATCTCCCTGGCTTTCCAGGATAATAGGGCATTCTAGAAAAATCCAGTCCACAAGCTTTTGAGAAGTCGGGTGTGATGGGGTATGGTCACAGATGTCCCAATGGGTCTGTTCCTTGATGTGCTGATGATGCCACTGACACCAGCCTTCTTGCTCACTGGGGCTCTCCACCATCCTGTCCTGCTTGGCCAAATTCTCTGATTTTCTTCAGACATGGCACAGAGAAGGGGTTACTGGCATCCTGAAGAGCAATGCAGACACTGAACCACTTCAGCTTGGGGAGAATTCATTTCTAGGGCATAGCACCCAGGAAACCAACCCTCGAAAGGGATCAAAATCCCAAAGAAACCCCTCTTTCTCTGTGTAAAAGATTTATAGAAAGAAAGCTCATGAGGATATTTGCCCCTTTTATCAACGAAAAAGAGATATGTACACTAGTTGTTCTCCTCCGGTAACAATTACTCACAGTTGGGCTGATAGTAAACAAAAGTGTTTTTATTAAGTACAAACTGTAGGATTTAAGTGGTTACAAGTGAAAACAAATCAAAGTTACTAAGTTAAAATGAAAAGAAAACACATAGCTGTTTCTAATTCACTAAAAAACTTATTGCAGGAAGATACTTACCTAAAAGCTGTTCTTGTTCTAGGCATAATCTTCAAGTCAGAGACTCTTTTACCCTGACCTGGGTCTTCAGCCCTCTTTGCAGGTTGCCATGCCAGCTGAAGTCTAAGGGCTGATAACTTCCCCTCAATAGTCTTTTCTACCAGGGTAGGAATCTTTGGTTCTTCACCGCCCCCTCTGTTTCCATGGAAAAATACCTGAGTCAAAATGGAATTCCAATATCAGGTGGTATGGCCACGCGTCTTACTAATGCAATTACCTTTGGACTTACAGGACAAACAAAGTTGTTTACAAGTCATTAAGTTGATCATCAAGTCGTTAAGGCTTCCATGAGGGGGCATCAGTAACGGCTCTCATAATTTAAAACTGTAAGCAGTCTCATATTTCAAACTTCTTATACAAGAACAATACATGCACCAAAATAGGAGGTACAGATCTAGCCGATTGTAACATTAAAATTGATAGGTTACATGAGGTATTTTGTCCAAAGCATCTCTGAATTATGCATATTTATGTTTATAAGCCAATTTTCATACAGTATGAGGGTGGGGAGGAACCATCACTTCAGATATAAGTCCTGAGTAGATCTACTTAGAGATCAATATTGACCTAAAAATTGGACAGAATACAGAAGACAAACAAGGAAACACAAGTCTTATTATAACCTATATGTTTTCCCCTGCCTCCCCACAACTCCCTTCATCTTTATTAGTTTCCACCTATCAGAGATTTCTCAACATTCTACTGAAAATTAATTTTATTGCACTTTTTATTCACAATAAATGCATGTGCTATTTGCTCTGAGCTTCAAAGGGATGGATGGCTGGAATAAACATGCATCAGATTTAGTTAACTTGGCTACCAAATAGCCACATTACATAGCAATAAAATGTTGAAGATAAAGCAGATGATGAATGCAAAGCAATGAATATTTTTTATTAAAATGGTACAAGTGCCCTCTTAATTTTGTCATGGGGACTATTAGTTCATCTAATATTAGTGCACAGGGGGAAGAATATTCACCTGGGATTCTATTATTTCAGTTTCATTACAATATTCCATCAACTTTTAAAGGTACGACCTAGTGCTAAATGAAAAGCAGGTGTTAGAAAGGAATTGGGTCTTTAAATTAAGCAGACGTATGTACTATTAATTGGACTTTACATTGCCATTTTTTAAATAAAGATTCATTTTAAATGCTGCCAGTGGCCATTTAAATGCCATTTTAAATTAAATCCAATCCATTGCTGGTACATGACAATGAGCAAGCAGGCATGGGATTCTAGTAATGAATTATATGTATTGAGTGGGCAGCCATGTGGAACAGTTCTGAATTATGAAATCCACATCTCAGACTGATTCTTGATATCAGGTGCTGCATACCAAATCGTTTTCAAATACAATTCCCCCTTTCAAGAATAAATAAAGAGAGAGTTGCGTTTTTAAAGTCACATTTTTTCCATAGAGCATGGTGTATAATGTTAGACAATTGCACAGGTAACATCTTACTGTAACCACTGTTATGTAAATTAAGATTATGAGCAACCTATTGCAATGCCATGGACAAAATCGTCATTCCAATGCTCAGCCTGGGGAGTGGGGATGGATATTGGATCTGCAGGGTCCCTAGAGAGAGGAATCTTTGCCTCTCTGAGCTGTTACATATAAGCAGAGTCACTCAAAAGCCACTATTTTAATCTAAGGCCTGCTGTAGGTTTTGTGGCCCTAACATTCCCCTACTCCTGCCTTACCTCCCCCCACACACCATTCACTACTGGGATGAATAAAGGGGGTAAAAGGAATGGAGCATTTGCATAGCACTGGACCCACTGGCTCCACCCCCTAATATTTTTCCTTGTGATGCTGTATAGAAAAACAGATGACTGTGTGCACATTAAGGCATCACCACTGCTGTATCACCATTGCTGCACAACTGTGATAAATCCTATGCAATGTAAGCCTTGTGAGGTATCACTCCAAAAAGTTTTAATCTATTGTACATGGTTATCCCCTTTATATTTGTGTATTATCATTTTGTATGAAGTTATGAATCTTTGCTATAAGTTTGTATCTCAAACAGGGATTCATGGGTTATACTCAAAAGACAGATTTGCATTTTCTTCTTTTGAATGTCATGTTCAACGCTGTATTCTTCGTCAAAGTTGGACATCCAAACTCTCCAGCTGGCAAACAGCGTCGCTGGTTAGAGTGTGGATATCCTCCAGTGAGCCAATATATTTTCATGTTGGGCATTCCGCAACAGTGTGGTGCTTAGTTTGGAGATGGCAACAAATTCCACTTATGCGGTAGATAACCGCACCTGCCCTGACTGGTCCTAGGCTGGTTTAGAACAGACCACAGTCAGATTTGCATGAAGACCAGTCAGCCATGGCTAATGGGCCATGAAGAAGAACAAACTCTTCAGTGGGAACAAAAAAAAGGACTATGTAGCACTTTAAAGACTAACAAGATGGTTTATTAGGTGATAAGCTTTCGTGGGCCAGACCCACTTCCTCAGATCAAATAGTGGAACAAAATTGTCACAACCATATATACCAAAGGATACAATTTAAAAAAATGAACACATGTGAAAAGGACAAATCAAATTTCAGAACAGAAGGGGGATGGCGGGGGAAGGTAAATGTCTGTGAGCTAATGATATTAGAGGTGATAATTGGGGAAGCTGTCTTTGTAATGGGTAAGATAATTAATGTCTTTGTTTAACCCTAAGCGTAAAGTGTTGAATTTAAGCATGAATGACAGTTCAGAGGATTCTCTTTGAAGTGTGGTCTGAAAAGGTCTTTGAAGCAGGATGCAGATAATTAAGTCATTGAGACAATGTCCTTTCTGATTGAAATGGCAAGACACTGGTTTTTCTTTGTGATCCTGTCTAATATCTGTTTGTGGGCATTGATCCTTTGGCGAAGTGTCTGAGACATCTGTCCAATGTACCTAGCAGACGGACACTTTAGGCACATGATAGCATAAATTATATTTCTGGATGCGCAGGAATATGTGTTCTTGATCTTATAACTCACTTGGTTAGGTTCCTGCGCATCCAGAAATATAATTTATGCTATCATGTGCCGAAAGTGTCCTCTAATATCATTAGCTCACAGACATTTACCTTCCTTTGGGTTGGTGCCAATGGCAGTGCTGGAGGAGGTGTCGTGTTGGCCTGGGTAGTTTTTGGTACCAGGGACCATGAGGTGTATGACACAATGCAATGGTCTTCGGTGCCATTGTAGGCAGTTTCCATGTTGACTCTGATAGGACCTTTTTCAGCTCTGAGGACTGGCATGACAATGAGGAGCTAGAGGTAACGGGCTTATCACTGGTGCTGACTTTTGAAGAAGTAGGCACAGGGGGTAAAGACCTGACTGGTGAAGTACTCTTCTTATGAGAGTCCTTGCTGGAAATGGATGCCTCTTTGTTGCCATGTCAGGTGAACGTTGTCTTTAGCTCTCGTCCTCCATGCTAGGCTTGAGAGACTTCTTCCAGAGGATGGACTAGGGACAAAGTTCTCTGTAGTATCTGGTCCGGGCTGTCATGTTGTTACAGTGTGAGCCCCTGGTGGGAATATATTGCTTACCAAGACAATGTATGCATGAGGAGTGACCATCTGATATAGGCATGGCCTCCCTGCATGTGCTTCACTACTTGAATTCCAGGGATCCGGGCATTGTGGTGATGGCTATTTGGCTTCTTGTTAACTAGAATAGTTTTAGAGGAGCACACTTTTATTACTGTGTTGGTGACCTAATGATAGAACGAACCACCCATTTGGGGGGGCTGCCTATTCTGTTTCCCTGCCAAATTCAGGACAAACTAGTCTCAGCTATGACCCAAACCAGGCACGGTGACAGTCCTTCTTTTTCAAAATATAGAGGAGAGCCATTCATGTAGCACAGGGCTGTGTGTTTCACTCTGTTCTAAACCTCTTCCTTCCAGTGTAGGAAAACTGAACCATATACACTGCATGTGTGACCTCCATTGCTATGGACTTGGGACAGAACTTGATAAGCAGTTCTCAAATGGTGGACCATGGAGCCCTTCCTGCTGTTCATAGAATGAAGTATTATGCTGGGGAAACTTAGAAGGATAAGTGAGGAAGTTTTCCATAGATGAATTAGTTTGAGGAAAAATAGAACTGGAGACACAATGGTGTTTTGAATATTCGATACTAGTAAATGACCATTATTGTACTACTTCAAACAGGAAGGGCCTGTCGGACTGCACAATCCTGAATCCTTCTCAGGAAGTTGGATGTGCCCAGGATTGGAAAGTCTACGAGAATAATGAGAAAAGTGGATTTTTGTAGACATCAAAGTATTTGTAATTTATTAACAAACTAATAATGGCAAAAACAAATTCCAATGAGTAGCTGACCTTTTTTTGTTTGTTTCTCTTCCATTAAGTGAAATTCTTTCTATACCTGATACTAAGGCTATTTGGCTCTTATTTATTACTCGCTCCAATTATAGCATAAACCACCAGTTTTGGGGGCTGCCTACTGTGTTTCCTACAGTTTGTCATGATTTTGGCATTCTCAGTGGGCTTTGGATCAGGCTCTGTAAGGTGTGTGTACACAGCACCCTAAACTCAAAAAAAGATACGCAATTTGCACTATGCAAATTGCATATCTTATTTCAAATCTATTTCAAAATAGCTCATTTTGACATTTGGCGCTTCAACACAGCGCCAAATTTCAAAATAACACACTATTTCCTTATCCCTTGTGTAACAAGGTTTACAGGGATGGTGAAATAGCACGTCCGTTATTTTGAAAAATATTTTGAAATAACAGGTGGCTTGTGTAGATGTCGGGTAGCTATTTTGGGATATCTCTGGTATCCCAAAATAGCTGTGCAGTGCAGACGTATCCTAAGACATGTTTTACTTTGCCTTCATGCTTGTTTTCAGCCTTTTTAAAACTACACACTGTAAGACCAGATGGTTTAATTCATAGGGCATTTAAGAAGGTATTCTGACTGCCATGAAAGTAAATTTAAAGGGCAAAACATTATCCTAGTTTAGTAGACCTCTTCTTGAAAATAAGCAATTCAACTTTTGATCAAAACATGTTCATTCTTATTACAACT